ATTCTAGCACCCGCATCATTTGCACAAGATCGTATTTGGCTAGAGGAACCAATTCGACTTGATCCAAACAAGCCTCAAATAGCAATCGACAATATGCCTTTTTTCTACCATCTCAATACAGAACATACGTTATCAATACAACAACTTCGACAGGCTCTTCACCTAATTGTCAGAATACATCAATCTTTGCGTACATTATTTGTGTTTGATGCGGAAAAGAATTCACTTATGCAACGAATTGTTGACTTCGATAATAGTAAAAATAGATTGTATACATTCATCGAAAACACTTACGAAACACAAGAGCAGCTCAATGATATTATGCATGAAGAAAAACATAATCCGCAACTTTTTAATCTTGGTCAAGGTCTTGTCTTTCGATGTCATCTTGTTTATTATAAGCAAATCCCTTCTAATGATCTTGTTTCTGATAAGGATGTAATCATCTTTAATTTTCATCATTCTATATTTGATTATCCATCAATAGATATATTTCTTCGTGATCTCAATCAAGCATATACAACAGGTCAATTAGTATATGATGACAACACTAATCTACGTTATATCGACTGTAAATATAAAGATTTCTTGTATTTTCGCCTCTCCCAATACATTCTTGTCTTTAATTATATAGATGCTGTTATTGAACAACAAATGCCAATGACTGGTGCGAATGTGTTTTGGCTTGATGCTCTTCATGATTGTAAACTTGATCAACCTTTGTCATTACCATATGATCGATATCGGCTCTCACATGAACATCGAACTGGTCATGCAACATCTGTTTCTTTTGATTTTGGTCAAGATCTCTCACATGACTTTCTTATTCATGCATCATCTAATAATACATTACTTGAACATCTCATATTTGCTATTTATTTCATCTTTCTATTTAAACTAACTAATGAACAAACAGATTTATGTATTGCTATGAACATCAATAATAATCGATATAGAGATGAATTCAAATCAATCATTGGATTGTTTGAGAATGTCAGTCCATTACGATGTCAGTTAGATCCTCATTGGTGTTTTCATCACGTACTCGAATATATTCAAGAGATAACAACAAAGAGTATGAAATATTCATATTTTCCATTACAACGAATTCTCAGTCAACATCCACATATTCCTAACCATGCATTTTTGAATACATCTGTGGAATTTATATCACACAAGACCAACGATGACAACAATGCAATGATGATTGGTGGTTCTCAACTTGTTCCAGCATCTTTCTCATTCAATATTAATGAAGATGAGATATTAAGTGTATGCGACTTCTCTCTTTCCATTTATCATGATATGAATATAAACCAACTGTCATGCACAATCAATGCATCACTTGACTTATTCAATAGAGACACCGTGGAGACGATTTCACAACGTTTTCATTCCATTTTACATCAATTATCTGCATCTGTTATCGACAGTCAAATAAATAAGCCTATCAATGAAGTATCAATAACATTATCAAATGAACAATATCTATTGCAATCATTGAATAATACACAAATATCATTTCCATCTTCTTTCACTTGTATTCATCATGAGTTTGTATATCAAGTAATGAAACATCCACAAAAACTAGCAGTTGAACTAGATGAACAATCATTGACGTATTGTGAACTTTTGTATTATGTTCAAGTATTATCGTTA